TCGGGGATTTTGGTCCACGTCGTTATGACATCATTGTGACATCAGCACACAGCTGCTGCAGATTTGATGAGAATCTCCCGTCGCTGCTCTGAGTGCAGCGAACGGTTCATGAAGCTGGTGTGAGGAGATCTGAGCGCTGAGACGGTCACACCTGCAGCAGCTGAACGCAGACGCAAATCGGCGCTCATCAGACCAGGACACGTTTTTCCACCTTTGTGAGTTTGTGTGAACTTTAACCTCAGTTTCCTTTGCTGACCTGAGCAGCAGCGGTGTGGTCTCCTGCTGCTGCTTTGGCCTCAGAGATGCTCTTCTGCATGCTGTGGTTGTTTGAGTTACCGCTGCGTTCCTTCAGCTTGACTCTTACCGGATATTTCCTCTTCTACTTTTGGTTGGTGTTAGTACTTTTACTGCAGTGAGGACCGGCCACACCAGTTTACATACTGGGCAAACAGGTCGACAGAGGACGCCATAATAACAGCTCTTCACACAGCCCTCACCTGGACAGTAGCAACACCTGTGTGAGAATGCTGTTTGTGGACCAGCTCTGCCTTCAACACAGTCCAACCCCACAAACTGGTTAATAAGCAACTCATGACTCAGCAGCTCACTGTGCAGCTGGATACTGGACTTCCTGCGTGACCCCAGAACATCAGGATGGGAGAGCACACCTCCTCCACCCTCATCCTGAATGTAGGTGTCCCACAGGGGTGTGTCCTCAGTCCCCTCTTATACTCACTTTTCTCCCATAACTGTTCACCAATCCACACCAGTAACACCATTATAAAATTTGCTGACACCACCATCATAGGACTGATCGACAACAGCGATGATTCAGCTACAGAGAGGAGGTTCAGCATCTGAAGCGATGGTGTGACGACAACAACCTGCATCTGAACACAGCCGAGACCAAGGAGATGGTAATCGACTGAGCACTCCACCCTCTACATTGATGGAGGAGGTAGAAAGGGTGGAGAGCTTTAAGTTCCTCGGAGCCCACATCTCGGCCGGCCTTACCTGGTCCACAAACATCTCCCACCAGGTAGGGAAAGCACAACAATGGCTGTGCTTCCTCAGGAAACTACGTCAGGCCCAGTTACCCCAGAGACTGCTAATTAACCACAACCGCTCCACCATCGAGAGATTTCTGACCTCCTGCTGCACACTCTGGTTGAACTGCTGCACCATGGAGGGCAAGAGGAAACTGCAGCGGGTGGTGAGGGCAGCAGAGCGGACAATCGGCACCTCACCGACCCCCCTCAGAGACATTTATACTGGCAGACTTCAGCAGAAAGCCAGCATCATCATCAAGGACCCCTCACACCCCGGACACGCCCCGTGCATGTTTGTATGGGTGTATCTGTATGTGTGCAGGTGTATGTGTAACTTGTACATATCTTTCCTGTGTAAAGATATTCTATTCTTTAAAAAACAAACAACGGGCTGGTTTCAGTTCTCGTGGCCTCGTCTTTATTTTATATCTGCTCATTTTGTTTCATATAAAGATTTAGATTTTGCTCACTGTTAAAAGGTGCTGTACCAATAAAGCTGTCAGCGGTAAGTGTGATCAGCAGCTCATTGATTAATGCTGCAGTCAGGCTGTGCCAGGCCCTAAAAGTAATTACAGGGATTTTAAAGTCAAAGCTAAAGTTGGCCGGAGGACCCGAGGAGTCAGCGGATTCACGGAGCCTCCAGGAGCTTTTCCCAGTTTTAACACACAGAACGAAGAATAAATCACCTGAGACAGTAACTGTGAGAGCTGCAGGTTCCAGCCTGCTTTTCACAGAGTTTCATGTTTAATAGAAAATGGAATAAAGGTTTGTGTTTGAACTGGCTGCTCGTGTAAACCGGCTCCTCCGTGGGAAAGCTCCCGACGGTCTGGGTTGATTTTGACTAAATGAGACCAAAGCAGCTGCTGCTGGTTCCCCTTCGGTTCTTGGTGAAACATCTTCAGTGACTGATTTCCACAGTCGTTCAGGTGTGTGAGTCAGGACACTGAAAATGTCTCTTTATTTCCCCACAGTGGGTTTTATTTTCACACTGTGCTCACACCTGTTTGAAGCACAGATGTTTTTAATGGCTGCCAGATGTTTCTGTTGGATTCCCGTGTTTCCGGTGTCATGAAGTAAGCGCTGATAAGCGTCCCTCCCTCTGCAGCCCAGAGACCAGAGCATCTGTGATCTCTGGATATAATCTGAAACCAGCTGCCTGTTCTCTGCGTGGCTGAGGCCGAGCCTCATGCGTTCGTGCTGGTGGTTTTCAGTCGTGTGCCTGAGCCCGGCAGAACCAGGTCCAGCTTTAATGCTGAGCCGGCCGAGGGCTAGAACGGAGAAGCAGCTCGGTGGGAAAGCGGACACAGTCCAGTCACACCTGACGGTCGTAGATCTGAGGAGGCGAAAAAAGCCGGTTTGAGTCTCTGCTGCAGTTTGGGTATCGAGGGAGTCTTCAATCATCGGCCGTCTGCTGCTGCAGAGCTGACACAACAATCAGGCATCGATCGGGCAGTTAGCGTTCCCCCTGTGTCAGAGCGGCCGATCGATCAGCGGCGCAGCCGCTTCACCTGCACCAACCACGAGCGAACCACGACGCGTGAGAAAATCTCAAAGGCACCAAACTTATTCCTGACACAGAAAGAGAGCAAATGAATCAGTGAAAGTCCTTCCAACAGACAGTTGCGTAGAAGAATCCACGTTTTTTATTGTGACAGAAATGTCTCCATACGCGTCAATATTCATCAATATTCAGGATTAAACATCAGTTTAACCCTCTCAGGCTCAAATTACGTTTTTGTTGCTAATGCACAAACGAATACCTGCAGTGGTACTTCTGAGTAAAAACAAGATGTCTGTGGGGTGATCAGGTTGTTAGTTTGTAACTGTTGCAAATCTGCAACGCCTGCCTCGAGAGGGTTAAGTGATAACAACAATAATCCCAACAATAAGGAGCAATGATGATGCATCAGAGTGTTTGGGGTGACGCACATCACTCTCTTACACAGGAAGTGTGTTTATTCACGTGTGAACGAGCCTCAGAGGGACCGGGCTCAGTTTGGATGAACCTGAGCACTGACGTGAAAACAGGAAAGAGCAGGAAGACGTCAGAACCCACATCAGGTGCTTCTCCACACGTCTTTGATTTCAGCTTGTTGTTTGGTTCAGAGGTGGTTCTAAACAGGTGTACCTGTCCAGGTGCTTCACCTCTGCCTGTGTGGCAGCAGCTTTGGACCCTGAAAGGGAAAAGTGGACAAATGTAATAATATTTGCTTAAAAGGAGCTCTGCCTTCTTGCTGGTCTTTGAGCTGTCTTGGCGTCTTTGATGTGATAAAGTCGTTACTCGCGCTCAGATGAAATGTGAGCCCCTCTCGTGCTGTAACCCTGCACTGATTCACGTCTGTGCGATGAAGCTCTAACCGCATCCTCGGCTCTGAAGATTCAGCTCTGCTCTCTTTCAATGAATCTTTAATCGTGTTTACACTCTCTCAGACGCTCGCTTCCTGTTACCGAAGCTTTCAGCATCTTTTCTCTCATTTCACACAAACACCAGCATTTATATGTCCAGTGTTTAGTACAGCGGTTTGTGAGGACGCCGTGTTTTGTCCCGGCCTTGTCTGAAACCGACACGTTCACTCAGCTGTGATTAAAAATCAAGAAGTGACCACTGAGGTCGATAAACGTCTGCTGTCGCCGTCACGGAGCCGGTGCTCTACCTCCAGCCGCTCAGCCTGATTCGTGATTTCAGATGGCAGAGCTGCTCCGTGTTAAAGTTTAATTGGACTAATTGCAGAGAGTGTGGTGAGCAGGTGATCGTGCAGTGGGCAGCTCCCAGGAGTCCCTCCGGTTTCCGGCTAAAAACGGCGTCCCGATGCTGGTGATTGATGAAGAGCCACTCAGGAGGAAGCTGAAAGCTAATGGAGCCACAGCAGCTAATTTATGACAACATTAACGCGGGGGGAGGAGAGGGGCGTCACGCTGTCGGGCAGCATTAGACAGAAATGCAGAGAGGAAGCTGCTGACGGCACACCCTCTGTAATATGTGACTGTGCAGGGTCCCAGCAAACACCAGACGTCATCCAGCCACTGCTCCGACACTCACAGCCCGTCTGAAGCCAGACTTACTCGTTTTCTTCTTGCATCACTCTCAGCTCAGAAATCTGCACAGCTGTGGACACGAGAGCTCTGCTGGTCACAGCCTGGCGCTCATCATCGCTCTCTGACACGATACACAAAACAGGCGCAAAGTAGCTTCTGATAATGAAAGTGAATAATGCATGCTCAGTAATCCAGGTAAGGAAATCCCAAAAGGTTGATTCTGTTCACCTGGATGTTTTCAGGTTTACAACCTTACAAACAGCACATTTGCTGTTCATTCAGTGGGCTAGTTTCACTGTGACTGAGGTTTGAGTCTCTGCTGAAAATGCTGCGTCCACATGAGCAGAATCAACCTTTTGAGGTTCTCATAGTGAAGATGATGTTTGTGATGTTTGGGCCCTGTGTGGACAGCCGAACATATGAAACAGGAAAAGACCGCCGTGTTTATTTCAACAAAGTAACTGTATTCTGAATACCACCTTTTTAAGTGGTAACTGTAACGGAATACAGTTACTCATATTTTGCATTTAACATGTAATGCCAGTACATGTATTCCATTACTCCCCAACAGTGGCCTTCAGAGGAGTGAACGCAGCTCAGGGCTGGAGCACATCTGCAGGGTTAGGAGCAACACGAGCTTCATGAAACCCAAAATACATCAGCACCAACATCTGGCAGCACACCTGGACTCACTCAGCTTGGGTAGTCTGAGTTTTCTGGGTGTTTTACAGGCAGGGGTCATGTGAGAAACCACTTCTGCTGCTAAAACAGAAGAAACTCCGACAATTTAAAATTTATTCCTGAAGTGTGGCGCGCTCTGACTGTTTCACTGTTTCCAGACTTTTCTTGGACAGTTTTATTTAAAAGTATGAGATACTCAAACAGTGTGACCTGTGCTCTTCTCTCTGTCTGCAGAGTGTTTAAGAAAGCCAGCCCCAATGGAAAGGTGAGTCCTCCTTTAGCACAGTGCAGGTGTGACAGTTTGCTGATGCCCGAAACAGCAGCGACAGTTTCAGGCTGACTAACAGCAGCTCTTCCTCCCTCAGCTCACCGTCTACCTGGGGAAGAGAGACTTCGTGGACCACGTGGATCGGGTGGAGCCTGTCGGTGAGATCTTGTTCAGTCTGTGGCTCCATCCTGGAGCTTCACTCACATTTAAATTTAAGTTGATTTTTGAAGCAAAAGCGACTTTGCTGAAGATCTTGTTTTCTCCTCGCAGACGGCGTCGTTCTGATCGACCCGGAGTACCTGAAGGAGAGGAAAGGTGAGAAGCCCGAGTGCGGGAAAGCTGAAAGCTGAGCTGCTGCTCAGAGAAATCGCTGCAGCTGTGGATGTGAGCGATTACCCAGAAACCTCACTGGCTGGTGTTATCAGAGCACGCTGCTTCACTTTGGGCTCACGTCCTGCCGTAAAAACCACGAGCAGGAAGATGGCGTCTCACATTAATGTGCAACATGTTTCGGTTTCTGTTAATCAGCTTCCATCACTGATTGTCTTTGTTCTCGCCCCATCAGTGTTTGTGACTCTGACGTGTGCGTTCCGTTATGGTCGCGAGGATTTGGACGTCCTCGGATTGACGTTCCGGAAGGACCTGTTTGTGGCGAACATCCAGGCGTTTCCTCCGGTCACCGAAGAGAAGAAGACTCTGACTCGTCTTCAGGAACGTCTGATTAAAAAACTGGGAGAACACGCCTACCCGTTCACCTTCGAGGTACGGAGGCCGCCGGGCCACCTGAATATTTGTCCGCTGATCTGTGACAGAGTGCTTTTAGCTTTTATTCTCCCACAGAGTTGCTGGATCCAGGCAGACCAGCTTCCTGGCAGCCTCCGGTCGCAAGGGGAGACGATTATTCCCCGACCGGTTGGTGCTGAGGCTGCTGGCTGTCGCTGGGTGTTTTCCATCACAAGGATGATGCTGGTTGCCATGGTTTCTGCAGTTTGCAAACACCCCATTTACTCCCCGAGCCGTGGTGAAACTTCCCACAGCAGCCAACACATTTCAAAAGGCTTTTATTTTGAAGGCAAATTTGCTACAGCTCGGAGAGTCCATAGCGAGTGTTTGCAGACAAGTTGGCGTCTTCCATACAAACCACAGGCGATCACGACACCCTGCCATCAGCCACAGCCATCACTGTTGGACCAGTTTGATACTGATTTCATGTAACTGACAGTAAAAACACGCGTGAACAGACACGTGCCGTCACACGTTTCACTGACAGGCAGTGGTTATCAGGCCGTCAAAGACCTCCTCGTTAATATTAAGACTTTTCTCATTCGTTTTTTTCTCGGCGTGCTGCACCAACTCCGGTGTTATTGGTGCCGAGCTGCCAGGCTCCATGTTTGCAGTCTTGGATATCAAATGTCTTCATTTCATCTTTGCATCATTCTGAACAATTTGTGAGAAATTACATGGAAAGTTGACAAAGATCCATGTAAACAGGATCCCGGACTTAATGGAAATGTATCCATTAGTAGAAAATAATGACAGATGAAGCTGTTCGTTGAGATATGAATGAATAAATGATTCAATTAGTTTGGAAAACAACAGCTAAAACGCTGCCTCGTGCATGATGCTTTATCACGTAACATCATCCATCAAGCCTCAGTGACTCATGTGTCCAGCGTCTTCTCTGGGAGCTTCCTGTCCTCACAGATGTTCTCGTCTCACAAACCCAGAGGAGGAACTTTTTGTTCTTGGAGTTCAAAAACAGAAAATGCAGAAAAACAAAGAGAAGCGACGGCGGAGCAGGAACCCGCAGTATCCTCACTCTCTGCCCTGCCCATAAATGTTTCAGATGTTTTGAATATTTCATATCTTTTCAGATTCCTCTGAACCTGCCGTGTTCGGTCACCCTGCAGCCGGGACCGGAGGACACCGGAAAGGTAAAGCCACGACGTCCGCTGTCATTTTCTTTTGCTTTGTGCTCGATTCGTGCCGCCGTGCAGACCCTCTGGGTTTGAAGCTCCTTTCAAAGGTGGAAACGTGTCTGGATTTAAATGAATCTGAAGACACGTCTCGCTGTGGTGTGTCCTCAGGCCTGCGGAGTCGACTTTGAGGTGAAAGCTTTCTGTGCCGAAAATGTTGAAGAAAAGATCCACAAAAGGTAAACGTGAGTCAGCCGCAGTCCGGCCGAGCGGCACAACAGAGACGTGAATTATGAATGAAACTTAGAGCGCTCGTGCCCACACACACACGTGAACAGAATAATCTGGGACACATCCACTCTGAAATAAATGTCTGAGCTATGTTGTGTTGCTGCAGGAACTCTGTGCGTCTGGTGATCAGGAAGGTGCAGTACGCTCCAGAGAAACCTGGCCCTCAGCCGACGGCAGAAACCACCAGACAGTTCCTGATGTCGGACAAACCGCTGCACCTGGAGGCCTCGCTGGACAAGGAGGTAACACCTGAGGGACAGATTCACTCAGTTCACCCACCAGCAGCCAGCAGAGCTCATCTATGGAGCACAAACGGAAGTGTTTGCCTGCTCATCAGAGTAACAGCCAATCAAATCTTTGAATTTCACTTAAACTGGAGCTCAGACTCCGGGACGCTCTGTTAGTGCAGCGACCTCCCAGCACACATGTTATTGGTCACGTGATGTCATTAGAAATGGTCCAATAGGCTCCAACAGCACAAACAAGGTGCAGAGGTCTAGGTGTCACCATCCACCTGCCAGTCAGGGAGGCCACGCCCCTAATAACGCAAACTTTTAGCCTGTACGCCGATTTAACCAGGTGAATGTCATAAAGGTTGTTGTGAGCCGTGAGATCATCTGTCTGTTGTGTCTCAGATCTATTACCACGGTGAGCCAATCAGCGTCAACGTTCACGTCACCAACAACACCAACAAGACCGTGAAGAAGATGAAGATCTCAGGCAAGTCAGGGCGCTGCTTCCTGTGTGTATCTCCACGTCTCCACGTCCTCCTAAATGCTGATATTTGTGTCCACAGTGCGACAGTACGCCGACATCTGCCTGTTCAACACGGCTCAGTACAAATGTCCCGTGGCCACCGAGGAGTCAGAGTGAGTTTCATCCATAAAGTTTGACACTAAGGAATCAAAAGTTGGAGTAAGCGAAAAACTGACGCTGCTGACGAGCTCTCTAATGTGAAATCAGCTGAAGCTTCTGTATTTCCCTCTCCTCAGTGACGTTGTGGCTCCCAGTTCGACTTTCTGCAAAGTTTTCACCCTCACTCCGTTTCTGGCTAACAATCGCGAGAAACGAGGTCTCGCTCTGGACGGAAAACTGAAGCACGAGGACACCAACCTGGCGTCCAGCACGCTGTGAGTCCAGCCGCCTTCACGCCGCCTTCGCTGCCAGCGGGGCCGAGACAGCCAAGCAGAGTGACGTGTGAATATTTTGTCTGCTGTGCAGGTTGAGAGATGGAGCCAATAAGGAGATTCTCGGCATCATCGTGTCCTACAAAGTCAAAGTGAAGCTGGTTGTGTCTCGTGGCGGGTCAGTATCGTGCGAGAGGAGCTTTAAATGTTAAAATTCATTCAAACGCCGTCCTGTGGTCGCCTGCTGACCCTGAGCTCAGATGTTAATCCTTGTTCGTCACGCCGTCGTGTGACGCTCTGTGGCGTTTTAGCTTCAGGTTATATCGTCCACAAATCAGACCCCTCAGCTGGTGACAAACAGAAATGTTATTTATGGCCTTTTCAGCTTTATTTGATAGACTAGGACAGGAAAGAGGGGGCAGACATGTGGCAAAGCCCGGGGTTCGGACTCAAACCGGGCCGGCCGTCTCAGCCGTGTGGCACGCGGTCGCCTGATCAACACTCACAACCTGGTGCCCAAAAGATTTAAAAACCTGCAGAATCATCAGAGGGCAGAAGTTCCCATTTCTAAACTGGAGATAAGCTATTTAACTGTGCATGGACCATAAAAAATCTGCATCTGTGTTCGTTTGAAAGATGTGAAAATGTCCACAGCGTTGGGATGCACTCATCATAAATCCTCTGTGCTCTTGTATTGAAGCTGAAACTCGTTCTTTTTATTGATTGCAGGCTCCTTGGAGATCTGGCAGCGAGGTAACCGTTCATGTTCTCGCATTGATGGAAACACTGAGAGTTACATGAACACCTCAGTGCTGACGTGGTCATAAATGCTTTTATTGTGTTGTTACCAATGATCTGTGTTTCAGTGACGTCTCGGTCGAGCTGCCCTTCACGTTAATGCACCCGAAGCCTTTAGAGGAGTCCTTCTACAGGGAAGGTGAGACACTTCCTGTTCCTGCTGACGTTCACAGACACAGGAAGTTAAAGGATGACGTAACGCATCATTTTATCAGCCACAGGTTCAAAGGGTCAGAGCGTCACCTGACCTGGAAAGCAGACATTTGTAATGCAGCATATTAATATTTGATGTTCAGTGTAATAGTATTCATGATGTCCACATGCTGATAATATGCTGCTGTGGATTCATCTTCAGGTGTTTAAGGCTGATCTCTTTCCCGGTGAGTCAGCTGACAAATCGGCACTCTTCTTCTTCTCCTCTAGAAGCGCTCACTACAGGCTCTACAAGAGCTGCTAGGGCTGTAAAATAGAGATGCTAGTGGGAGGTGACAATGCAGAACTGCAGGGTCTGCAGCGGCGATCAGGACGCACGCTCAGAAGAATGTAAATAAGAGATGATGAGACGGTGGCGACACATGGAGGTTCAGCCCAGCAGACACAGCACAGGAGCATCCTCTGAGTCAGGTTTAACAAAGCCGGGCTGTCTTTGCATTAGCTGGATCTGACCGACCACAGAGCCATGGTTCTCATCTTTCTCTGTGGGCGGCACGGTGGAGCAGTGGTTAGCACTGTTGCCTCATAGCAGCAAGGTCCTGAGTTTGAGTCCAGCGGAGCCTTTTTCCCCGTGTCTGTGTGGGCTCTCTCTGGGTACTCCGGCTTCCTCCCACAGATGCTTACTTTAGATAGCTGCCGCCCACAGATGTGAGCGTGAGTGGTTGTCGGTCTCTCTGTGTTAGCCCTGCGTCAGACTGGCCACCTGTACAGGTGTACCCAACTGGAAGAGGAGGGCTCTCTCTCTGCTGCAGGCTCCGTCCACGCTCACATCAAAGTTCGGCGTGTCATGTGACTCATGCACTAAGTGAAGCCGGCGTCCCTCAGAGGCATATTTTATTAGTAACTGAATGCACTGGTGTGATACTGGGATTTGGCTCCTCCCCTGCCCACAGCCTCGGTCTTCCCGCTACGCCAATCCGTTAGAGACCCACGTAAATCCGTGTTTGCGGCCCTGTTGCAGTTCTTCCTCCTTGTTTGCGGCGGTTGTGGAGAACAGACCCAGAGCTGAGCTGCTCGGAGTCATCAGGTCTCCCTCAGTAAACCTGAGCTCCAGACGCAAAGACGGCGCTCCACGGGGCTGTCTGACAGGTCAGAGCGTCACGACCAGAGCCAGGCTCAGACTGAGGGTGTGTGGGGATTTTAAACGAGTGGGTGTGAGAAGATTGAATTGGCTCTGACAGAGACGAGCACCAAGAGTTTTCCTCTCGGCACAGGTGTGTAACTGTGATCTCTCGCTCCTCCACAGCTGCAGACGAGGCTCCAGTCGACGCGAACCTCATCGAGTTTGACACAAAGTAAGCAGCCGTCTTCCCGTCTCGCCGCTGCCTCTCCTCCTCACTCTGATTGGTTCTGCTCTGGTTTACGGGCTCATCAATAACACTGACAGCAGACAGGTTTCCTCTGCGCCCGCTGCAGCATTAACAGTGATGGACTCGTCTCCAGAGTTTCAGTCTTAATGCGTCTTAATGCCTGCTGCTGTGGGAGCTGCAGGAAATGGGCTTTAAACTGGAAACTCGTTCTGCTGCCAGCACAGCCAAACGCGAGCGCTGTGAGCCGACGCTGCAATTTACTCATTATCATTTCATGCGTACGCAACAACAAAGGAAATGACTCCAGCTGCAAAGATGAAATACAGAACAGCGAGGCCACTTCCTCGTTTGTGTGTTTTTATTTCCTCTTTCCGTGCAGCCCAACGAATATTTCCACTTCCTCTTCCTGTCTTTGTTACCTCAGACGTCTGTACAGGGGGAAGAAGAAGTAAAAGCAGTGAAACACTCTTTCTGCCGTCTCCAGCTCGTCTTCAGCTTCGTCTGTAATTATTAATCTCATTACTAAATGGCAGGGCGGGGTCATGGCCCGTTAGCTTTCTCACGTCGGTTAAAGTTGTTGTTTTAAAAGTGGCGCGGCTGCTGTCCCCTCTGCTCTCTCAGCAAGTAAACAGTGTGGCGATGAAGACACTGGGGAGATGGGCGCGTTGGTACAAAATGAAATGGACAGATGTGAGGATATCGATGGTCACAGTAAAGAGGACGGAGGATTTATCCACTCGTTTTGCTGTCAGAGCAGAAGAAAACCTTCATTTCCACTTTAGTCTTGTTTCATGTGGCCCTGTCATATAAAAGTGGGTCGAAAGACCAAGTTTGAAAATAAAAAAAATGTAAATATAGTTTGAAAAAAATTCACAGGACTGATTTTATATGTTTGGCCTTTTTTATTTTCACTTTTTATTTCATTACATGTTCATTATATTCACAAATGTTTATGAAATGTGGAGGCTCGGACATGTTTCTTCGCTCACCAGCCTGAACACAAAGCTGTCCCAGGCACCGTCTCATATCAGCTGATTAAAATGCGTTGTAAACGAGTCTCGGCGCGATTACGTCCATAAACGAAAGTTGAATTCACAAAAAAGCTTTTTGTTGCTAACCAGTAAAATATCGACTAATTGTAACTAAGATGTTAGTGCGGCGACGTGTTACAGAAAAATAATGCTCCCAACGCTGGTAACCAAGGATACGAAACAATAAACATTTAATAAGTGCCATATTACTCATTTTAAACCAAAAATCATATGACCAAGTTAGCGTCTCTGATTTAACTTCCATAACCTCTCCCTCCCTCAGCGACGATGACATCATCTTCGAAGACTTTGCCCGCCAGCGGCTGATCGGAGCAAAAGACGACAAGGATGAAGACGAGGAGCCGGTGGACTCGCCCAAACTGGACGACAGATAGAGGGGAGGAGACACTGCGGCTGTTGTTTTGCTGCTGTATGTAGTGTGGAGCTAATGGAGTTCACCTTTAGGTCAAACCACAGTCTGGACACCCTTTAAACACTCGGTGGTGCCGTGTTTGTGTGCTCGTTCATGTCTGTCCTCTCTGAGTCCCGGTGAGGTGTTTAAAAAAAAAACTAGAATACTGCAGCCTAGACATCGGAGCGGCTCTTTGCTCCGACGGAGTCGCCTGGAGCGCCGACCCGGCAGCTCCTAACGACAGCTGGTAGCATGCCTCTAATGTCTCTTTGTTCTAAGTGTTTCCATTAGGGACCAAACAGATGTAAAGTTGTGTTGAGATTAGTTTAAAGTCTTTAGAAACAACACTGCCAGCCTCGGTTGATCTTGAACCCTCTGCCACTGGAGACAAACTTCAGCCGATGGAGGATTTTGCTGAGTAACCATCTGTAGTCGGTGTTGCTGAAGCTGCAGAGCAGATGGGAAACGGCACCGAAGTGATCTGCTGGGCCGCCCGACAAGAGGACCTCAAACTGTCAGAGTGAGCCACCGACCATTTAACAGCAACCGGTGGCCTAGTTTGCATGAATAAATACTTCCTATGATTTATTAATGTCATGAATAATCAAACTGATTTTAAATAGCATACAGTTTCATGTGTTCATGCTGATAATTTTCCGAATCATCATCAGAACGATTTTCTTCCTTGCAGGTAGTCGCTGGTCGTCCATATTCGCTTCGTTTCTGTTAAAATCAGCACGGCTTCATGTTGCCTTAAAGTAAACGCTGCGCTTTAATATGATACATGTGTCAGACAAATATAATTGGCATCCTTTACGTGTTTGTTACCTTTACCTCTGTTTAACTGAAACAATCAGACATCTGGCAGAAATTTAAAGAGCAGCTGTTCGAACTGTGGCCTGATCGTTGTGAATGCTTTTAAGACTGTAGAGATAAATATTTTGTTTCCTCAAACAACATTCTGATAATTATGAGTCACTTTAGTGTGACAGGCTAATTCTGAAGCTAATAATGTTAAATTTCTACTGAAATATCCGAAACATTTCGTCACCCAGTAAATCTTCACTTACCTTAAATGTAATAAAGTTTAAAACTGAAAATAAACCGAAAGATCTTTTATTGAAACTGAACTGAAACTCAGAGACACCAAGCAAAATTGAAAATATTATTTTATTCACTAAATAAAATCTGATAGAACAGTGTTGCGGTCAGAGGTCATCACACAGGCCTCCTAGCAAACACTCACTGCTGGTGACTGGGTGGCGAGTGGTTGTGGCAGTTGCTCGGTGAAATATGGTGCTGCAACAAAAGCCTCCTGTGGTTGTTCTGGCCTGTGGCAGACTGCCTCAGTTGCCTGAAGTTTGCATGGAAGATGCAACTTTTACTGGTCTGCAGATGACTCAACGTCTTATATGCAAACTACAGGTGATGGAGGCAGTCACAGAGAGGTTTGTGGCGTAGCGGCCTTCTTTTACATTAACCACTCACAGCTGGCTGGTGAACAATGACCAGAGGTTGCCAGTGGGTCGTTGTCCGGTTTCTCGGCCTGTGGGACTGGCTCCTTAGACCGCTGAAGATTAGCGCTCTAATGGGCAATCCCTACGTGCCGGCTGATTTTACAGAAACAAAGTAAAACTAGTGGCTGTGCTGAAGAAAGAGAATCCACATGGAAATTCATCAATGATTTGTAAGAGAATTGGCAGGGATGTCATCCATCCATATGTCGTATCAGGTGACTTGAGCAGGTAAAGAAATTGTGCAAACCTTTATTTTGAAAAGATTCAAAGTTAAAGAGTCTCAAACATCCTGTATGAGGGGTAAGATGTGTTTCTGCTTACTTTAAAGTCAGACTGAAACCAGTTTTTGCATTGTAACGTACAGTTTAAGAAAAAACAGAAAACATCAGCTGTGTCTGATTGTTCATTTTGGCGGGGCGCGAGGAAAACTTGTATATTTCACTGGATCTTAAATAAAAGGACGTTTGTGTCCCCATTTGTCTGGATTCATGAAACTAAACAAAAACGAACTTTTCAACCGACGAGGTGCTCAGAGGAGGTTCATGGATGTAGTGGAGGAGGACATGCAGAAGGTTGGTGCAACAGAGGAGGATGCTGGGAAAAGGGTGAGCTGAAGGCAGTAAAGACTAGCATATTTTTCAGATTATAAGGCGCATTAAGCGAAACAAAACAGTCAAATAAGTCAAACTTTATTAAACTCATTCTTCGTGCTTCCTTCTCTTCTGTACCATTGATTCATTAATGCTGAATTCTCTGGCAGCTGCTCTATTCCTATGTTGTTGCAGTATATTAACTAACCTCGTATTGTGGATGGATTATCTCAGTTGTTCTTCTGACTGAAGTTTGGTCCGTTTACAGCATCCTGCCATGCGACTGCATTTGTCTCTAACCGTCGGAAACCCTCACGTTAACTTTTAGCGAGTGGAAAAGAGTTAGCGTTCATCCTCCAGCTTCACTGTGTTTGTTATGCTAACATAGCTGTGTCGCTAGCGATCACGTAGCACATCATTATATACCAGCTAGCCCAACTTCAGTAACCCTACAAACGTCACTGCTGTTTAGTTTCCTGTCTTCATTTATGTTGGAAGTGACAGCAGAGCTGTACGTTTGGATTTTTCAGAAATCTCTCAGTCAGAACATGCTATATCATGTTTAGGTGGAAGCTAGCGAGCTAACTTCCTGCTAACTTCTAACTTCTTTAAATTGAATAAATTCTGTTTTCATGGATGCCTGGATGTTAAACTTAATTGCTACACCTGTTACACTTTTATTAAAGATGAAAGAATTTAGACAGTTTTTTAACTCTCAGTGATGCTGCAGTGTTCGTTTGACTTTGGGACCTGAAGGACGGAGTTTAGGACCCAGATCACTCCACGAGGCTCCTGACTACAGTAGCCATAATGCTCCGACAATCCATCAAGCGGTGCGGCTTCGTAGCTTACCAAAGTTGTACTGAAACATTTTTGACATAGTTTTGAGCGCCGTGTACCACAAAAAATCAGTTCGAGGTCAGTAAGCACAACCAGAATTCATACATAAGGCGCACTGTCAATTTTTGAGAAAATTAAATAATTCTAAGAGCGCCTTATAGTGTGAAAAATATGGTACTTGTGCTAATGCCTAATGCCGGGTGTTCCATTTAAGGAAATGAATGAATGTATTAATTGTAGAGATGCCTTTTAAAGAAGCTTTATAGTGATTCACCAAACAGCAAATGCTTTCGACAGCATGTCTGAATCCCTGAGCATTCATTAACAGTTAGACTTCAGATAACACGTCTTGCAGGAGGTTTTCAGACTCATGTATACCTTGCAGTCACAGTTTGATTTTTCTGCTGCATATCTGCGCTTAGGTCACAAGAGCAGCAGCAAATACCTTACTCCCTGACAAACTCCCACTCTTTTTTCATGTCATGGTCGTACTCTGCCTAAACATGCCAACTGTCCCATAAGCCCTTTATCCCTGATAGGTCTACTCCTTCACCATCACATTTCCCTTTACCTCCAGTGTTTACTGGTGGGGCTCTGCCATGACGTGCCCTAAACACCTTACAGCCATAGCCTCATTCAGTCACATCAGCAGTGGTGGTGTTGAATATGGTCCATTCAGACTCGGTGTCCCTGGCCCCAATCAGAATAATGCTGCAAAAGTTTTGCAGGAGGTGAAGATCTCCACTCCAAGGCCCGTCCCAGATCCTCCCAGCACACTTTCATTTTTCATGGCTGTCTGGCATCCTCCTTAATACACCTAGTCCAGGTCAGAGACAGGTGAGTTGGCCATTGCATGTAGTAAAAAATGACAAAATCAACCAATGTTCATTATAGACCAACAGCACAGAAGTCCAGTAACAGAACAACACTTGGCCTCCAGCAAGCCCTTCCTCCCCATCAGCAAGTTTCTCTGTTATTGCCAACATTAAAAAATGAGGTACCCCAACTGGACAACAGAGTTCCCAGACGGGATATTTTCCAGCACCCAAGAACTCCCAAAAGCAAAAATTTGGTGCATATGAGCAGGACCCAGTTTCAAAGCAGCCGTCTATAATCTGAAACTCTGGGATGGTTCCAAGGTCCTGTTTCCACTTCAGAGTCTGAAACTACAGGCATTAGTTGTATAAAAAAGTATGTTTGCATAAAAGAGGTTCATGAAGATCATATAAACCAAACCCCACAGAAGAGGGGCTTCATGATTTTTCTTTTCCAGCAGACGAAACCTTCACAGTCATTATTTTCTTTGCTCTGTTTTTGAAAATTCTCAGAAAGCTGTCACGGATTTCTTTGGTTCGTACTCCGTAGATGATAGGGTTGATTGTTGCTGGGAAAAGGATGTACATGAGTCCCATGGAATTGTTGATATCTGTTGGTATGGGGATGTTCAGGTTGTGAGAGAGGAAGGTGATGCTGCCCACCAGGTAAAAACACATCATAACAATGAGGTGAGTGCTGCAGGTGTGAAAAGCTTTCCTGCTGTCTTCACCAGCTGCTGCCGATCGCAAGACCACGCTCAGTATCTTCATATAGGAAAAGAAAATAATTGGTATGTCAGCTCCTACAAAGCAGATGATGACAGCAAGGCCAGCTGCACTGCTCCGGCTTGTGCTGTCACACGCCAGGCTGACCAGCGCCATGTGGTCGCAGTAGCAGTGCTGGATTACGTTGGAACCACAGAACTGCAGAGAACCTGCCAAACCTACGAGCGTCGCCATGACGGAGACGCTGCGCACCAGCGTGAAGAGCACTAGCCTCACCAGCATGGAGGAGTTAATTATGTCATTGTAGCGCAGTGGCCGGCAGATGGCGAAGTAGCGGTCCAGTGCCATTGCCAACAACAGGGTTGACTCCACTGAGGACAGGAAATGAATGAAGAACATTTGAGTCAAGCAGCCGACCAATGAAATCTCATTCCAGTCGAACAGAAAGCCAAGGAGCATGTTGGGGATGATGGTTGTCACAACCAGGATGTCAACAAAGCAGAGCGTGCAAATGAGGAGGTACATGGGGCTGTGCAGTCTCTCCACGCTGCAGATGACGTACACCAGCAGAGAGTTTCCGAGCAGCACCAACAGGTAGGAGGCGCTAAATGGCAGCGCCAACAGCCGGCGGTGTTTCTGCAGCGAGGGAAACCCTCGTAACACAAATGTGCAATGGGAGAAGTTTCTGCTTAGCGGTGCTTCCAACATGGCTCTGGCTTCACCTGCACAGAGACGGCCACACAGAAACAGTCAGCACCACCGTCGCAGAGAGGACACGGGGACTTATCCAAATGCAGTTCTTGCCTGCTAAAATTTTCCACTTCTTCCAAACACAATTACATTTTTAAGGCTGCTGAAAAGATTGCACACACAGTGAGCATACTTCATTTAAATTGGCGGTGGGCACCTCACCGCGCAGTCTGCCTTTACCGACATGCGTGAAAGAATCGGCTGTGCTTAAGTTCACTGAATTTTGGTGCTGTAACCGTAGCTGTAAAACAGTGCAGTATTTTTTTTCTTTTAAACAGGTTTTTTTTGGTAAATAATGACCAAAAATAAAAGGGATTTCAACATAAGTAGTTAGTGCATTGGTTCATCTGGAACTTTTGAAAATGTAAACGGAATACAAAGATTTTAAATCTCACAAACTCGTATTTTACTCACAATAGAACACAGAGGACATATTCCTGATATCTGATCTGATGGCAGCAACACGTCTCAGAGAAGTTAGGATGAGGCAACAAAAGGCCGGAAAAGTAAGAAACAGTGAGAGGAACATTTGATAACTAATTGGCAACAGGTCAGTGACAGGCCTGCAAAAAACTGCAATTTCAGAATAATGTTCTTCAGTTCCAAATTGTCTTTGAACGTCTCATCATGCACAGGGACAAGGCCGATAACTGTGACCTGTACATTACAACATCAGTGCACGGGCTCAGGAACACTTCAAAAGAACCAGCGAGCAGCTCAGCGTGCAGGTTACTGCTCCATCACACAGAGAAGAAGCCACGTGTGACCACGATGGAGAAACAGCACCACGTCCTCTGGACCAAAACTCCTTAAAACAGATCTGAGGTCAGACCCATCCAAACATGGAGGTCCTTAGACTGAAGAGGACGAAGCAGAGCCAGGACTGCTGAGCAGCTGGAATCCTCCATCAGACCATCACACTCTGACGTTAGAGAGCAAACATGGACCTGTCCTACTTTTACAGACGTGTTGCTGCCATCACGTAAATAGAATAAAATATGGGTTTCTGAGATTTGCACATTGTTGCATTCTGTGTTTCACCTCAAATTAAACTAGTTTCTATTTTTAAATAGCTGATTAAAAGTACTCTGAGTACTTTGAGAACTGTCTCAGTGTTTGGACTCTAACCAAAATATTTTTTAAATCCAAACTGGTTTCAAAAAGCAAACAAAAGCGAGAAGAAAGAGAAAACAAGATCTTTCTTACCTGCAGCGCTGGTTTAACGTCAGGAAAAACCCGGTCTTTTCTCAGGTCATCTTATAGCCAGTTGCTCATGTCCCACTGAAAGGCTGACCTCAAACACAGCACCGCTGTGATTGGCTCAAAGCAGCTTGTGGGAGTGTAAAGGTCCCTGAGCCCATCGGTCTCCGGAGGTTTGTCAGGGTGTGGGTCTGTTAGGACAACGAGCAGAGACATGTGGGACAACCTGACGCGACTCTGAATCTGGTGGTTTTTGTGCACACGCACGTCTGTTTTATAAGGCCGATACATATTCTGATTCTCGTGTGATAAACACTGAGTTAACAAACTTTAAGTTAAGTTCCTAATCACGTTTTATGTTTGGTAGCGTGTGCAAAAATAAATAAATACTTAAATGTTCTTCAGAAAGAAAATAAATATTATATAAGTGATTATATCTTTCCTCCTACGATGAAAAGCTGCAGCGTGATATTATTTCCTGCTCTGATATTGAATTCAGAGGAGCGCAGATGTTTCCTCTGAGGTTTAAACCGTGAAATCTAATTTGTCTGCTGCTCCTTCCTTCAGGTATTTCATCCGTATATTTGTTCCCATTTTCCTTTTGAAGCTAATTGGTCCCGAGGTCAGTACAACAGAATTTGGCTTCCTTTGAGAAGAACACAGGGATTAATTATCGGGGCTGCTTAATTGGCTCTTTCTGTCACACTACTGGGAATCTCAGAGCTGCAGCTCTAATCAACACCGGCCTGAACACCATGTGATCATGCAGAGACCAAACATCAGAAAAATGAATAAGTTGACATATGAGCATAATGAAAGGCCAAAGATAGTTTGGATAGAGTTTGATGGCGTTAAGATGACTTTATTAAGACAAAAGACAAAACAACGATTTACCTGTTAGCATGCATCGAAAAATCAATAACCAAATATAACTTCAAGTTTATTAAAAATGATAACAGCTTAACATTAAACGGTTTTTCTACCAGAACCTCAAACAACAACATGCGATATTTGATGTGATCTGATGCTATGGTGTTCATTTCAGGACATCCTCAGGTCTCAGGAAAAACGCCATCTAAGCCATCTTATGTTTAGTGAAAATATTAAAGTTAGCTGCTGTTTGGTTATTGTAGAACATCCGACTAATATTGTTCGTTAATGCTGCTTTCATATACCTGTTCCGAGTAGTACGCTGTGCACGCACGCAGTGAGACAGCGCGGAGGTGAGACCCGCCCTCCCCGGGAGTGAAGTTGCTTACATGTAATGGCTGCTCGGTTATGTAGTAAAACAAAGCTTGCTAGTAATCACGAATCCAGAGTCAGTACTGAACATCAAACATGGTGTCAGAAGTTGTGGTTTGGTCGTGTGCTACAGCCCTGCCGAGCTGTCAGGCTAACGTTTTCTCAGCACTTTGCGGATGAAGCAAACAACCAGCTAGCGTTGCTCGGCTATCGTAGCAAAGGCTATTAAGCATCAACGACCACATCAGACGGATTCCATAGACCAGAACCTTTGGTGTTCAGTGGAAACATCGCCGAGAAGTGGTGTGTATTCGAGCAGGAATACGACATATTCATAGCTGCTGCTCATTCCGATAAGGATGCTCGAACTAGAGCGTTCATCCTGCTAAACCTGGCCGGCTCTGAAGCCATCGAGCGGGAGCGCACCTTCGTTTATGCACCCGCTGTGCACGCGGGGGAAGGAGAACACAGACGATCGGTGACCGAAGCAGAATCGAGAGAAGACCCGGTCTCAAGCGCAAATTTCGGGAACTGTGTAATCCCCAAACAAACATAACAATGGAAAGGCACAAGTTTAACACCAGAAACCAACGACCAGATGAAACAATTGAGTCTTACGTGAGCGACTTGAAAAATAAGGCAGGCAGTTTCAGATTTGGCCAGCTTAAAGACGAGCTATCAGAGACAGACTCGTTTGTGGCATAAATAGTGACAGCATGAGAAAGCAACTGCTGCGCGACAGTGACCTAACTTTGAGCAAAGCAATTGAAATGTGCCAGATATTCGAGCAGACAGATCAACATACAAAAGCTCTAGCAGCTCCAAAACAAATGGCCGCAAAGGTGGATACCTTGCATCACATTATAAAGAAAAACATCTACACAAAGTCAAGACGAAGACAGGCAATGAGCGTGCAACACAACCAGAACAGAGGCCCGCTCACGCAATAACAAACTGCAACAACTGCCACGAGGCAAAAAGAGACAAATGCCCAGCATATGGCCAGCAATGCCATAAGTGCCAAAAATGGAATCACTTCCAGAAATGCTGCAAGTCATCACAAACACGGCAATTCAAAAAGAGACCCGTTAACCACATTGAGATGCAAGCGCCTAGCAGTGATGAGGAAATGTTCTATGTGAATGGAATTAATATAGACACTATAAACCCCTGCTTTCCATACAAGATTGACATTTTCACCACGGTGCATATTAATGGAAAACCCATAGAGCTCAAGGTGGACATGTAATGTCATGCCGGCTGACCTTTTTGAACAACAGAGACAAGATGAAAAACTCCTGCCATCACAGAAAACTAAACTGGTGGCATATGGAGGAGAGGAAATTCAAACAGCTGGCACAGCAACACTTTCATGCCACTCTGCAGGCAAGGAATACCCTCTGGAGTTCTTCGTAGACTTAAAAACTCCTTTGTCCCACACGCCATCAAACTGTTTAACTCCTCTCTGGAGGGGAGAGGGAGGGGAGACAGGAGGACAAAGGAGGGGGGAACAACTAAGCTGTAGTGCCTCTTCACCTCACTGTGCAATACTTTTGTAAATAGTCAACAGTGCAATAGACTCAATACTTGAAATGTGCAATTCACTTGTATTTTTATTTTTATTCCTATTTATTCTATTTATCCCCTTTGTATATTTTATTTATATTGTCTCTGCATTATATATATATATATATGTGTGTGTGTGTGTGTGTGTGTGTGTGTGTATATATAATATTCTGTAACTCTGTAACTTCTGTCGGTGCTGTGCTTTTTGGAAATCGAATTTCCCAGAGGAATCCACCCGAGGGATTAATAAAGTTTTATCTTATCTTATCTTATCTTATCTTATCTTATCTTAT